CATATTTCCAGAATGAGAAAAGGAAACAGACCATGTAGACTGTCCGTTGTGTCAGATTTCCGTTGGTATTGATGAAAAAAAGTCCACCTTCACCCAGACGAGGCTGCTAAACCGTTTCGTCCTCAGTCATGCAGCACAGCGGCCTGATGCCGAAAAGTGTGACGCCCATCGCACGACGCTTGCCAGGCACGAGCGGCCGTGAGCTCGAGTCCGGCAAGCCGAGGCCGTCTCCCGGCAGCAGCGGCATTTGGGAACAGTTCAAGAAGACGCCGTCGTCACGACCCTCCATTCTGGAGGGTCTCAACCCGACCGATGGGGTCGTTCGGGTTCGCCAACCGATTCGAGCCTCGCGACCGTCGCCAAGACTGGTACCTTCGCTCGACGTGTCGACAAGCCTCAGCTCGGCGTACACAGCGACGGCGCATTTGCCCAACACTTGGTCCAGTCCAACCGACCCTCGAGCGCCCACTCCGACCGGCCTCGGCGGCATCGGTCGGTACCGGCAGATCGGCTCAGTTGCCAGGCCAACAATCTACCCTCCGTCGGCTCGGTTGCTGGGCGTCGGGCAGCCCAGCTACCGCGACAATGTGTCGTCCGTGAGACCGGCCTATTTCACGCCGTTCCATCCGGCCTCGACGCAGAGCAGATTCGTCGCTCTCGCCTCCCACGACCTCCTGGCTCGAGCCCTGTTCACGCCGGCCTCGGACGGCCGATTGACTCGGCCGACGACACGAAAACGTCTGCTGCCGCATTCTCTGTTCTCCGCCGATGCGCCCACTTCCGCCTCGTCTGGGCCGATGCGTGGCAGTCTCGAGAGCCTCGCCTGCTCGAGTGCCTTGTTCGAGGCCGGCCGACTGCAGGACTGGCAGTTGACCAATCAAAGCCATCAGACGCTGCCACGGTTCAGGACTCCGCCGTACCAGACGGCGCAGAACTCGCTCCGTCTGCCGGTCCCCTCGAGCTGGGACGTCGAGATGGGCTCTCTGCTGGACCACATGCACGGCGGACCGCAGTGGTACTCGGTGAGGTCGAGACCCACCGCCAGGACCCTGCCGTCGGGTTGGATGAAAGCGAATCCGCGATTGATGGGGACGACCAAGAAGGGGTCGAGAGCAGACGAGTCTGAAAAGACAGACGCGG